GGGGGGAGGAGGGAGGGAAGAAGTGAAAGTGATGGGGATGAAGGGAGAAAGTGAGAGAGGGAAAGAATGAAGGGAGATAGGGAAAAAGGAAGAGAGAATGAGGAAGGGGGGGTAGTGGGGAAAAAGGGGCGGGGGGTTGGTTCAGCACCGCTGCCGCCCCTTGCCTGCTGCCCCCGAAAGCTGGTGAAGGTGGGGGGGAGCGGCGAAAACGGGCTGGTGGGGGTTGACTCAGCATCACCGCCTCTGGCCTGCTGCCCCTGAAAGCTGGCGAAGGTGGGGGGAGCGGCGAAAACAGGCCCGCGGGGGTTGGCTCAGCGGCGTTGCCCCTCGCCTTCTGCCCCCGGAAGCCTGTAGGGCTCCGAGAGGTCTTTGAAGCTGGGGGGTGGGTGGGCAGGTGGGGGAGGGGGGAAAACAGGAGTGTGATAAAGGGGGGAATTGGGCCGCGGCAAGCAGTGATGAGCTGCCACCGCCGGCCTTCCACTGATTCCCTCCAGCCCTGGGTAGTTGGGGGGGGGGAGTTGGGCGGCAGCGAGCGGCTTATTAGGGCCGCCGCAGCTCTTCAAGTGCTTCCCAGTTCCACTCACCCACCAGGTGGTTGTCAGCAGTACTCTGAGTTCTGAGGGGACTGGGTGCAGAGGCAGGGCTACAGCCTTTGTGTTCTGAGGTGGGACTTAGGTGACACGGCCAATGGAAGCTGGGGAAGCTTCTGACGGACAGTTCCAGCCTCCAAACACTGTTGGTGCACATTTTCTCTCCGCTGCGTCTGACGCTGCGTCTTACTCAAATATATATAAGGGAGATTATTATTATTATTAGCAGCAGCAGCAGCATCACTATTACTTATGGAGCAACTTCAAGATTCGTGGAGCTTTACAGAAAACAACAAGGCAGGTCCCTGTCCTGGGGAGCTCACATTTAAAAATTTGCCTGAAAGAATTAACGGAGTGTGACCATTAGCTGTGATCCTGTGAGGGAACATGCCATGCTTGAAAGCACAACTGAGGTTTTGCGCATTGGTTTGATCTTGATCAGCTCTTGTGCTTGACTCTTCAAAAATGTTTACATTTGGAGGACTTTTTATATTTTAAAAAAGTGGTCTGGGAGATCTCTGTATGTGTGTGTGTACACACGTGTAGGTCTCTCTGTGAACCAGAAACTGAAGTAAAAGATTACAAGGAAGAGCTAACTGGCCATGCAGTGCTCAATCGCAGTTGTTATCTTTATATACAGAAATTCAATTCCCCTCTGCAAACACTGCCTAGGAAAGTCTGACAATGCACAACAGAGTGAACCCACTTAGCAGTACGGGTATTACTATATATTTTAAATTACTGATTATAACCTAACCTTCACTTTTAACAGGTTTCCCAATTTTCAAAACTGATTTGCAGAGTGGCATGTTTAAGCCATAATTTATGACCACTTCCATGGCATCAACAATCATATGCCTTACAATTACAACGCCAGAACACTAGAAGCTAAGTATTTTGTTACTATTTCCATGTTTTCATCAGACTGAGGCTATTTATCTGTGTTCCCCCCCCCCACAAACACATAACGGCTATTCATCTGACCTGCAAATAAAGCCAAAACTGTAAAATTCTGTTGGCCAGAACTACTTTTTAAAAAGCTATTCTTTAAATTATGAGATTCTTTGAATGGCATCCAACACGTTAAACGACACCCCGCCTTTTGTAACTGCACCATCCTTCTCCCCTTCACAATGCTGGGAGGCAGTAGCGACATTTCACCTTGTTAATTTACAATAGCAAAGCAACAATATATTTTTGTGCCTTTTGTTTCCAGGACTTTTTTTTTTAATGTTTATTCTGACATTAAGTTTTCTTTGCTTTCTTTTAAAGCATACTATGTACATCACAACTGGATTTTAAACACAAACAGCTTTAAAGCTTATATCGCCTAACACCAGAACAAAGTTTGTGTCCAGTAGCACCTTTAAGACCAACTTTGTTCTGCTGCTTCAGACCAACACCACACACCTGAAATTGTCTAACACAATGAGCCTAATCCAGTCTGCTTGTGCTCTGGATCAAAAGTAATTTGTACAACATGAAGGGTGAATGAGTAGACTGAGATTACTGGAGCCATGTACTGACCTCCTATTTTCCCCAAATGCCCCTCCCTGTTAGTGCTGAAGCTTTAAAGCTTCTAAGGCCCCGTTCACACGAGGCAGTTTGGGCCGGGAGCGGGCCAGATTGGAAGCGGCGCAAATGGGCGCGATCCCACGCCAACATCTGGCTGGCGTCGCGCTCCCGCCTCCAATCTGGCCCCTCCCGGGATGAAGCGCATCAAAGATGAACCACCTACCTTCGGTAGTTCATCCTGATGGTGCACGTCATCCCGGCTGTGGGATCGGCGGCGCGTCTTGCCGCCGTCACATCCCCGGCCCCCTGCCATACTGCACATGCTCGAGCATGCGCAGTACGGCAGCCTCCGCCTCCAAGTGTATCGTCCTCCCCGGCATCTGATCGTGCCGGGGGGGAACCGAGCGCGGCAACCGGGATCCGTGGGATCCCGCCGGGGCGTGTTTTCTTTGGCGCGGCTTTTAAAAGCCGCGCTTCGCCCCGTCGTTTCCCTGCAGTATGGACGGGGCCTAAGTCTCCTTTCCTAAGGACTCTGTGTCTGTCTCACAAATTAGTACAATCAGAATTGTGTCTCTGTGTGTGTGTGATTTGACAGTCAGAATTTAAGATTTGGAATTAACCATTGTATTTGAAAATGACCCTCCATATTCACGTAAAGATAAACCAATTGTCTCAGAGTAGCTGGAAGGAACAGACTATGTATGGTGGTCTACAATGTTGTAACAAAATCTCTTTTCTTTATCAGCCCAGTCCAGCAAAAGGCAATGCACCCATGGAGATAAGTTTCAGAATGCAGATCCCTGCCTTGCTTTTCCCTTACCCCTGTACATGCGTGTAAGGGCTCTGTTCAGGGAAATTGAAAACCTGTATATTGAACAACCTTGCTTGCATATAAGTTCCAGATCCAAAGATCCACAAGTAGGACTATGGATTCTGGCAAATAATTAAAGTCCATACGTACACAAGCCCTATATACTGCTCTTTGCTTATTAGTGGCAACCTAGAGATAATGTCACTTTTCCCTAACCCTACCACATGAATATAGGTTTAAACTGGGTTGCAACCACACACTTGTTCCCCATTTTGATTCCAGAATAGTCCTAATGAAGCAACAAGGGTTCTACTGAATATACTGTTGAACGACCTTTATATTCCAATTAACAAATCATCTGCTAAATCTATGAATCTTAATATTCAGATCTGTTCCCTTCAGTTCATACAATTTATCTGCAAACAGTTGTTGGGCTTCTGATTCTAAATATAATTAGCTGATAATTTTGCCTGGCTGAATTACTTTTCTGGAGGGCCTGCTAAGTCTCTCAGTTGCATTATCTAGCAATAATGAATCTGATAGGTAAAATTTTTTACTGTAATGAGGATGAGACACAGTTGTGACACCTGAGTCTAGTAATAACCGAAGACTGCTAATTATCGACAGCACTTTTTTGTGTGATGCACAGAGGGGAAAAATCCCTCATTATTAAAAAAAATAAAAAGTTACAATTATAAGTGGCACCAGAGGAGAGTAAATAAAATGGAGTGATTAAAACATTGCCGCTTTAAGGGTGTTTTTAATTAAGTGGAAATGCTAATGTTGTCATACTTAGCAGATGGGATTAAAATTAGTTATTGTAAGTAACTCATATTTTGTGTTATAGTTTCCAGTGCATGTCTACAAGATCTAAGAAAGTGATACATTCCATAAGACATTTAAGAAAAACCCTGAAATTCTCATATTCTTAACAACCAATAATAATGAACATCATGCATAAACTGGGGGGAGGGGGGAGTTTCTGCCAAAGAGTTTTCTTTTGTGACTTAACTAGCTTGAATGTAACCTTAATGTACTACACAGTTACAATTACACTACTAAGCTACCCCCCACACACACTGCTTTTTTTTGTGTGTGCTGAGTTTTTTAAAAAAAGTATTCATGCTCGACAAAAACATAAAAGTTTGGGGTTTGGGCAAGTGTCCAATATCAAACGTAGTGCATGCCATGGAAAAGATGGCCACCCACCAAGGTGATGTTCAGAAATGAAGCACAGGATGCATCGTGCAAATGCAGATCTTTTTTTTTTTTAAACAACCTTAATTGCACACTTTCTCCTACTTTATTTGTGTAAAATTTTCCATCTGCTACATCTAAAGATGTCTAAACTGTTAGAATCAGACCTGCATTCAGCTGCCAGCTGTGCACATTAAGGATTGCAAAACACTAAGTAAATGAGGCAGCATAAAGCTGAGTAGTGCTGGTCCATCTGCCCAGTACTAGGAGGGACCCCCCAATACCTGGTCCTTTTTAAAGCAACACACTGCTGTCGCTGCTGCTCAAATGAGTAAGGAAAAGACTGAGCAACCGTTCCTTAAGAGCTCTGGCTTAGAATGCTCAATTTGCATTTGCTATCATGACTTCTAAGTATCGGAATCTGCATATGATGAGTACAACTTAGTGCTTTTCATCTCTTTCAGATGCTCTTTGAAGGAGTATTTAATGAATGAAAATTAACTTCTATAATTTATAGCATTTTCCACATCAAGTTTCTAAACAATTTGAGATAAATTTTAAAGAGTTATTTCAGAATTATTCCCACTGTGTAAAAAAATACAGAACTTTTCTTGTTTTGAGAACCAATGATTTTTTTTTTTTGCTAATAATATCAGTGGCAATCGTGTTTTGCATTCATACAGTTGCTTAAATCTTCAAAGTGCAGCACAGGCATTAATTAGTAGATTTTTTTTTTGTCTTTGCTAATTCATATTACAAAGAAATGGGATGTTACAGGAATGCTGCATATTTCCACGTATGTGTGTGCTTCATACATCAAGGACTCCTTTGCAGTTTAATGGTGTGGGGGGGAGACAATCTGAGGAAAGGATCCTTGAGAAATTTAA